GGCTATTTTTTTAAAAGGTAGGACAGAAAATGACTTCTATACTTTTAAAATTTGCCCAAAATTTAGGAGGTCTTTAGGCCAAGCCAACCATATAACATTTCCATAAAAGCTTATGTTATCTTCAATACAATAAACATCTCCATTATTATGTTGTATTGCACATTCAGGATTCATGTTTCTACTTATTATTGAGACCTAGATAATTTATTTTCATCAAGTTTAAAAATAATACTTTGGTCCTCTTCAATAAAATAATTTTTATCTGGAGAATATTCTTTTTTATTCCAACAAGCTGGTTATAGCCACCAATCAATTCACCAGTTTCTTTGATCTTCATAATAACCACAGTTTGTACTACATTATAACATTTCTTCTCCAAAACTGACCTAGAAAACCCATCACAAGATCCACAAAGAATTAATTTGAATCTGTAAGGAACATCATCTTCATTATATGGGGCAATTTTCCAATCATCCCATTTAGAATCAATCCACTTAGAAATTAAACATTTCATTTCTAAATTTAACATTTTTCCAGATTCCACTCTTGAACCTTCATGAAGTGATAATCTTGATTAATGATGCTGTCTGTAAATAGTTTGGCCATTCTGTAATTTGACAACTTTTCAAGTATGCAGTTGTCAGAAAATCTGTAATATGTAAACATATCTGTAATTCTGTAATTCTGTAATAAATATGTTATGTAATTGAAAATATTAATTCAAAATTTTTTGCTGTTTACACAAATGAAATCATAAATTTTATTCATAAACTTTTTAAATTTAAAAAATTATAAAAAATATATATTATCATACATTGTAATAATCTTCAAAACCCATTAATTCATGAGCTACTTTTATGGGATCATAATCATCACCTCCAGTCTCTTCATCAAAAAATCCACATCTAATTCTTCTACTATATTGTTTTCATTAAACATTTCATTTAACATCTTCTCCACATTCATTGCATTCATTTGCTAAATGAGAACATAAGATTCCAGGTTTTGCAAATGCCCATTTTTTATGACAACTTATATGCTCACCTTCATATATACCATTTCCTTTTTCTTGACCTTGAATAAATTGCCTCCATACACCTGTAAATTGTCTGCCATGATTAATAGAATTGCTTGGTTTCTTGTTCATTATAAAAAATTTTGTTACACAAAAGTTTATTTATTATTATATATATATACATATAAGATTTATACATTTACATATTACAGAGAATTATAGATTTTGGCACTTGGTTGCAAATAGTATGACAACTCGGTTGCTAGATACAACTTCTGTAAATCTGATTTACAGACAGCATCATTAATCTTGGTTGATGGTTATCAGTAATATGGCATTGAAAAAGTTCTTTGTATATTTCTTTAATAAAGACTTCTTTATAAGGGTTAATCTTTTATAAAAATCAGTTGATAAAATTTCCTTGAATCTTATCAATGGAATAATATCTTCCAATGTATTTTTCAACATGATAAAATCTTTCTTCTTCCACTTAAAAATGTCTTTCCAATTCTTTATCTTGACCTATTCCCCATTGGACAACAATATCCCAAATTTCAATTTCTTTTAA